AATCTATTCAAAAAATAAAGCTACGTGATTCATGATCTTTTTTAAAAAAATGTATTTTAGAATAGTAATTTTTTGAAAAATATGTGGTTAAAAGATAAGGAAAAGTTTTAGATTTATGTATAATATTATTTTCTTTTGAAAAAAATTGCCATTGAAAATAAAAAAGAGAAAAATATATTTTTTGAATAATGGACTCCAGAATGGGAACCATATAGGGATGGTAATGCGGCAGTAGGTTCGGATATCTTTGGAAAGCGGTGCAAGAATAGTGAGGGCGGAGCAAGACTTTCTATTTGATGTTTGAATGCTTGAAAATTGTTTGAGACTACGCAAGGGATTCTTTGTGCTTGAATTCCTTCTTCAAATTTTCTTTTCATTTCTTTTTTTTGGTGTTGATAATTTCGACTATATATAATATGTAGTTTTGAGTTTTGTTATTTCCACTAACACATTGTTCACAAGATATTTTTCACCAAGATTTATTTTTCCAAAAACTCATTGATTTTGTAAAGATTTCAAATTTTTGCCTATATGGTTAAGTCCTTCATGTCACAATTTTAAAAGAGTAAGTTTACCATTTAAAATAGCTAATGTCTGGCCAAGTAAATGTTTTGTATCAAGAAAATAAAGACTATGCCTCTTTGGAATAGATGTGATTAAATCAGAGTTATTGAAGATTTTAATATGTCCCCAACCCAATATTATGTCAAACTCACTATCATCTAACATGCCTATAGACTAAATTCCTCTCTAGATCAAGTACATATCTAGTTCCTTTGTTCCTATTCCACTAACTTTACATATCATATTATTTCCCATTATAACTTCCCTAGGGGTGATAAACGAGTAGCTCAGGCGCTTGGCTCATCAAAACTTGACTTGTGGTCACGAGCTTAGTTGGTCGACTCGCTACTGGCTTTGGGCTCGCTGCTCGTCGACGAGTCCATGAGCTCGCCCACGAGCCAAGCTAGTGACTCACCACTATAGTGACCAATCATTTTGTGGACGACTTGTTCGGTATCGAAGGCGAATCACCCATGACACTGCAAAAGTCAATTTCATAATGAATTTGCCAGTCTCAACAAAGTACACATTCCCAAAAATATTCCAGATTTGGATGCTAGTAATCCAATTGATTTGGATAACGTAGATGTTCCCAAAATGGAATAGGATGGACCAACTATTCCTAATGCAAAATGGAAGTGAAAAGGGAAAAAATCGACAAAATAACGGGATTACTTTAAATTGATTTCAACGGGTCATACGGTAGATAGAATTGTAGAGTGTAAAGTAGTATGTAAATACTATTAAACATGATTGGCACGCAAAAGGGCACCGGTACCACCTACCCCAACCATTATTGATGGAAGACATGCCCAGTAGGTTACTACCCATTCAAGGCATCAAATATCAAATTGATTTCATACCTGGAGTTGTCATTCCAAACAGGCTAGCTTACTGAAGTAATCTCAAGGAGACCATGAAACTTCAAAGGCAAGTGGAGGAATTGATGAGCAAGGGGTACGTGAGGGAAAGTATGAGTCTATGTGCCGTGTCAGTGCGTATTTTACATACTTTTAATAAAAAGCAGGTAAATATGCACATAACAAAATTTTCTAGTGGGATTGAAACCCGATCGTCTCATTCTCACTTAGGTGCGTATTTTGCATACTTTTAAAATTAATTTGTGAAAATACTGGCATGAAACCTATATTGAGTATATTCATATACTCATTCTATATCCTAAATTATTTTTAAAGATATATGATGGATCAGATTTGAAGGTTGAGACTGTTAACAAAGTCCATATCGCTAGATCAAGAATTTAAGGGTTTTTTTCAATATTTAGTATTTAGTTAGAAAACTAGTTTTCAAATTAGATTTTTATTTATCTAATGTTCAAAATCGATGTTGAATTTTTAAAATAAGTGCTAGATTTATATTACAGTAGTGGATTAGATTAATTGACATCGTTATGAGACAATAAAATAACTTATTTTATTCTGCTAAGTTCTTCAATTTTATTTTTGGGATTACANCATAATTCACAAATAATGAGGCACAAACAAGCACTTAGAGCCCATTTGGGATAGCTTTTGAGAGGCCCAAAAAGCTTTTGTGGCCCAAAAGTGCTTTTAGATCCATTTGATTAATTTTATAAAAGGATTTTTTCTAGTACGGGAAGTCAGTTTTCTTGTTTAATGAAAATTTAAAATTCCAATTTTACCCTTACATTTGTAAAGAACAGAATGAAATTCCAACCATGTCCTAAAAAATCACGACCTTTTCAATTCTCTTCATTTCTTCTTCTCTAATCCTTTTCTTTAATTTGTGTCTGCAGGAATTCCTCTCATCTCTTTGTAAGATTTTGCAGTTTACCTTCAATTTCTTATCATTTTATTTTGCAACAACGTTATTTTTCTATTATAGCAGTTTGTTTGAATTTCAGTGTAAAATTACTTTTGCAAACCGTTGTTTGGAATTGCGGCAAGGGTAGGGTTTAGTTATCGAGGATGCTTTTGGATTATTACGGGAGTATACCTGATTTTACAATAATTTTGGCTAACTAATTAGCTTGGCAAGCCTTGTTATGTTTTTTCAATCTTTATAATTCCTTTTTGAGGATTCAGAAATATATAGTGTATGCTTTCTTAGTTTTAGTTCTGTAGCAATTTGTTTGATTTGGCGTAAATTTTCTGCTAGCAAACCGCTGTTGGAAGCTGGGGCCAAATGTAGGGTTTTCATAATGTGAAACGCTTTTAGTTTATTGCGAAATTATAATTGGCTAGAAATTTTTTTTTGGCAAAGTAATTAGCTCGACTAGACTTGTTTATTGAATTTGGATGTGCTATTATAATCTTCTTGCTTCTGTTTTTTAGCATTCTTGCTTTTTGGGAATTCAAAATAGTATAGTGCATGTTTTATCCTAAAGTAAGTATGATGCACTACTTTTTAACCAGTTCAAATTTACAAATTGAGGCTTTCTTAATCAATGAATTTGGCCTCAATCATTTGGGTGTAACAACATTTTTAAATGTAGTTGGCAACTGAGGGAATAAAGGGAAAATCAAAAGCAATTTGGATGCATGAACACATGAGATTTAGGTTGATGTAGTTGTAGAACAAGTGAGGGCTGGTAACAGAAATGGAACACACTTGAGCAAAGAGGGTTGGAAACTTTTTACTAAGAACTTTAACAAAGCAACAATTATAGATTATGATAGGAAACAACTAAAAAATCATTGGGATGTCGTAAAGAAAGAGTGGCAGCTATGAGATGCATTGTTAAGAGGGGAAAACTGGACTTGATTGGGATATGGAAAGGCAAACTATAGGTGCTCCAAATGAATGGTGGGTTACAAAACTACAAGTGTTTCAATTTTCTTTATTTAATTATAATACACCCAATTATATAATATTTCTAAAATTCTAAATTATTTAACAAAAATATCTGGAAGCTGCAAAATATCGTGTGAAGGGCTTAGATCATGCATTCAAATTAGATGAGTTGTTTCGCAATGTCACAGCTACTGGAGCAAGGGCTTGGGCGCCTACATCTGGTGTAATGCATTCTTTATATTCACAAAATATAACTATTATTGAAGATGATGATTCTGCTGAAAATGAACAATTTGATGGTAACCATGAGGAAATAGGGTATAGCAATCGCTAAGATAAAGTGGTTGAGCCAACTAGGAAGCGACTAAGGAAGGGAAAAAATAAGCAATCAACAACAAAAAACAATGCAGACAACTTGAAGAACTTCGTGAAGCAGTTAAAAACAGGAGCTCCTATATATGCATCGATCCACCTGGATGTAGTGTTCAAGAGGTTATGGATAAGATGGCTACACTTCCTGGTTGCGAACCAATGACTATGAATGACAAGCTTTTTTAGTCAAGAATTTGCTTGTTTGAGAATTAAAGCAGTAAGCCTGAAAAGGGGGATGGCGTTGGTGAGATTAATAGAAGAAGATATGCATCTTATTGCTTTGTTCTCTACTGCAGCAAAGTGTTTAGGATGAACTGTGGGGATGGTTTTGGTTCTTTAGGAGGATATACCTAATGACTTTTGTAGGTGTTGTGATTTTAAGTTTTGAAAACTTTAGCATTGAACATGAATTATTCTCGATCTTCTTAGTTCGCGTAGTATTGACATTTGTTTTATGTGGTTGTTTTGCATCTTAGAATGGGATGAAGGAATGCTATACATGGTCGTACTAGTAGAATCAAGCAGTGAATCCTGCTGCCAAGGAAGTCGTCGAAGATTTATCAAGCCTATTTGAAACGCTAGCTCGAATAAGTGCAAAAGGAGACGTCGAGATTTTATTAAATGTGACATTCCACAAGGGAAAAGGATTGACAAAGGGAATTCGAAAGGAAAGGGGCTGGTTTGATTAGTAGTGAGGAGGGAGATTCTAATATTATTGTAATTTGTATTTGATATTGGAAAGTGTGTGTAAATTTTGTTCCTTTTATTATGTTTGGCATCAGTATATCTCATTCTTGCCATGGAGTTGAACTCTGCATTTTATGTTGAGGGTGAATGCTTAAAATATTGAATAATAGTAAAGGAATTTAATGAAACGAAGTTAATATAATTTGAGTTGTCGTGATGTTTAACATTTCCCGTTAACCGTCCACATAATTTGTCCAAGTTGATGTCTTAGACGTTACAAGATAAAATTGAAAGAGACCTACAGTAAAGCAATTTCATTGAAGCCATTGCACAGAATTACAAAACGTTTATAACTCCTTGTAATATCACACTATTTGTACCTTACACAATCACAAACAAATATAAACAAATTTCCAAAATTCAGCACTTTCACAGGTTATAAACAAATGGAAAACTGATTCTAGCAAAACCAAGTGACAGAATAGTGCACAGCTTCGAAAATATTCCAAAATCAGCATTCATAAAAACCAAGCGTATCTCTTCTACACCAATATTCTTGCTTGATGTTGCAAAAAAAAAAGTACATATAATATGAGACAATATGAGGATTTTCTAAGGTTTATTCTGGGGAAAAAAAATTCTTACACATTAGTGGATTAATTAATAGCCACCGTTGAATTGCATAGTTGAAAAATGCACAACACTAATCCTTGCAAATACAGATCTCCCAAAGCAGCAGATACTGGAAATAAAAAAAAATGCACAACACTAATCCTTAAAAACACAAATCTTTCGAAGAAGCAGGTGTTGGAAATTTAAAATTGCACAACACTAAAGAAAATGAGAAGAGTGTGGCTCACGTGGGCAAACACCGAGGTGGAGAATATGGCCGGGACTCCGTATGATCTTCGCTGGCAAAAATGCACAGTGTGGCTCAGATGAGAAAACACTGGAGGTGTAAGCTATGGCCGGGCATGGTGATTGTAGCAGGAATAAACCGTTGGGATGGAGAATTTTCATGCCTCTCCAACACCGGAAGTTGAAGGTATATGGTCGGGCAAAATGTGATAAATGAGACAAAACACATTGTTTTTGCAATTTCCACCGGAAAACGCTGGAGTTGTTCCCGTGCAAAATGGGTTCTCCAATTTGGGGGAGTTATACACGGGTTGAACAAATGGTTCTTTTTCCCTCCCTCTTTTCCCTCACTTTTCTATTTCTTTTTTGATCTTTCTTTTGGTTGATTTAATGAGCTGCCACGTCGCCAAATTCAAAATCCTGTAAAATCTCTGTGAAACCCAATCTGTACCTGTAGCTTTATTGTTAAAGTAATTTATGTGACATGCTTTATTTCGGCAAAATCAACTACTTTTCTTATTGTAATCTATGTGGGACTTGTGTTATTTGAAGGTAATATGAAGTCTATGTTATTGTAAGGCATTACGTGATGAATTTAGTTTGTGAAATTATATTTTTTTATTCATGGTTATATGATTACAAAATGGACGAAGAATCAGATGAAGAGCTACATGAAGAATACATAAATCAAGTTATGAGAGATGAAACAGATTTTAATGAGCTTGTCCTTACCACTGCAGCTACAATTGTGAACATCATAACACTTTTTTGGTAAAAGAACCATGTAGGGATTTCTCTTGTACATGAATGAAGTTTGTTATGGAGATTCTTAATGGAAATGATAGGTGATGTCAAGAAATGTTTCGAATGGAGAAACATGTATTTTGCAAATTATGTGACAAATTAAGAAGTTATGGGTTGTGTTCAAGTAAAGGAGCACGATTAGAAGAGGCAGTATGTATGTTTTTGATGACATTGGGACATGGTGTTGGTAATAGGATGATTCAAGAAAGGTTTCAATGTTCAGGTGAAACAGTGAGTAGACAATTTGGGATTGTACTAAAAAAAGGATTAATCTCGCTTTACAAGAAATTAGACCGCTTGATAATTATGATGAAGTTCCACTTTATATTAGATCAAATCCCAAGTATTGGCCTTATTTTAAGTTAATCTACATAATAAATGTTGAAATATCATATTTCATTTGAAAACATTATTCTAATTATTTTTGCTTTATTTCTTCTATTTTATTTTCTTTTGATAGGATTGTATTGAAGCAATTGATGGAACACATGTTCGCTCATCACTTCCAATGAATAAGCAAATCCCCTACATTGGTAGAAAGGGATATCCTACCCAAAACATTATGACTGTGTGTAATTTTGACATGCTATTCACCTTTGTGTGGCTAGGCTGGAAAGGAACAACACATGATACACGTATATTTTTGGGGGTTCTACGAAGCATTGATCTAAAATTTTCTAAACCATTAGATGGTTTGTGATTTTTATTTATAAATAATTTTTATATATTTTGGTAACATCATAAGGTCTTTATTCTTATTGATATTTGAATTGATAATTTTGTAGATAAATACTACTTGGTTGATTCAGGCTATCCAAATATGAAATGTTATTTAACTCCATATAAGGGAGAAAGATACCATCTTCCTGATTTTAGACGTGGTAGTCAACTTAGAGGTTCTGGAGAAGTTTTTAGTCATGCACGTTCCTCACTCTGAAGTGTTATTGAACGTTGCTTTGGGTATGGAAATCGTGATGAAGAATATTACGACAAATGCCAAATTATGATTTTGATAAGCAAGTAACTATTGTTACGGCTTCAATGGCACTACATAACTTTATAAGAAATGAGGCTATAGTTGATTTGAAATTTTAAAAATACAATTAAAAAGAAGATTATTTGCCCGATGATGAAGACTCAATATAAATTCAACTGTTGATGAGGGTGAAATGAGATTTATTCGTGATAGAATTGCTAGAGAGCTTATGCTTAGATGAACATTGTTTTCTTATTGTTTCCAATCTAAAATTGTTGCATTTAAATTTAAATTTTATGTAATTAATTATTTTTGTTTTATTTTTAACGTTGTTTAATTATTGAACTGTCAAACTAATAATCTCTTCAAACAAATTCATTAGTAGTTGACAAATATATTTCTAGCTTCCTTTCACAATCTACTCTTTTTTTTTTTTTCTAATTGCTGTAGAAGGGAATTTGTTTAAAAATTGTTAAATAAAATTTTTAGTGTAATTAAAATTAAAATTTTAGCAGATTTTGATAAAAAAAATGATAAACATGTAATTAACAAAAATTGATAACTATTATGGATTACATAAAATATGTGATAGAATTGCTAGAGAGCTTATGCTTAGATGAACATTGTTTCCTTATTGTTTCCAATCTAAAATTGTTGCATTTAAATTTAAATTTTATGTAATTAATTATTTTTGTTTTATTTTTAACGTTGTTTAATTATTGAACTGTCAAAATAAAAATCTCTTCATACAAATTCATTAGTAGTTGACAAAGATATTTCTAGCTTTCTTTCACAGTCTACTTTTTTTTTTTTTTAATTGCCGTAGAAGAGAATTTGTATAAAAATTGCTAAATAACATTTGTAGTGTAATTAAAATTAAATTTTTAGTAGATTTTAATAAAAAATGATAAACATGTAATTAAAAAATTGATAACAATTATGGATTACATAAAATATGTGATTAAAATTAATTCTTAAGTCGTTGACTTTAATTTAAATTATTGTTTTTATTAAATCTGACTATATAATTTATATCTATGCTTTACTAATAAAATTTTAATATGATAATTAATCAAATTCATTCTCAATATTAAGGGTAAAAATGACATTTTTAATACCATAATAGCATTTGACACGCTCATACCAAACACAAGTAAAAGCTCTTCCTGATGACAAATCACGTACAAAATTAGTTGCCAGATACTAACTCAAGCTCGAACTCTTTCTTCTCTTCTTCTACTGGTCAAAAGCATAAGTAGGAGCTATTCCAAACGGACGAGGTTGCAATATGGATTGGATTATTTAGAACTTAGAAGTTCCCGCCGTGACGCGCAAAAAGGCGCGCCGCTTGAAGAAATTGTAGAAAAAACTGAAAAGCTATCATCTCGAAGTGACGACTCAAAAATATCAGTAAAAAATTTTTACTTTAAAAAAATTAAAACAAAATACCCCACCTAGGGCTTTGGCTTTGGCTTTGGCTTTGGCTTGGGATATGGGTTGATCGTGACCCACGAACGGAAGAAGAGCAGCCACAGAATGGGCAAAAAATCTCTCTTTCCCGAAGGGTCCTTAATCGAGGTAAAAACAGACGAGGAGGGTTTCAAGGACGTGTATTTTTTAGCTACTGTAATTCCTATACCTGCGAAATTCAAGGGGAAAAATTACAAGTCTAAAAGGAAAAACACACTGTATGTGGAATACCTGTCTCTCTTGGCGGATGATAATGGCTCTGATTTGCTGCGGGAGTTTGTTGATTTAAACTTTGTGAGGCCGGCGCCACCGCCGTCGGAGATCGTGGAGGGGTTTGAAGTGAACGACGTCGTTGATGCCTACTACAGGGATGGCTGGTGGATAGGTGTTGTGAAGAGGGTTGAAGAAGGTCCAAAATTTGTGGTTACTTTTCAGAACCCGCCAGACGAGCTCGATTTTGGGATTTCCAACCTCCGAGTTCACTGGGATTGGGTCGACGGACGCTGGGTCCGACCCGTACATCCGGTAAAGATCACAGAGTGCAACGTCTCCGTTTTATTTTGAAATATTATGACCGTTTAAATGTCTTTTGGGTTTTTTGCATTTGGGGGTCGAATGATGGCTAACTAGCTGAGTTGGAGCATGCATGCCTCTAATAATTTTCCATCCGGTTTCTATTTAGGGATTTATAGATTTTCATTAACAGTGTATTCTTTTTACTGCAAATTCACTACGTGGTAAATTTTTGTATATTGATATTTCTGCATTATAGCACGATTTTATATTGGAATGCACTCTTTTTTATTTATTATTTGTGGGCTTATTACTTAGGCGAGTTATTTTGTAGGTAGGAGTGTACTTTGTTAAATGAGAAGGATGCATGTTGCTGCTTTAATTTGCTATAATTTTTAAGTATAGTTAAAATGGGTAATGTTCATCTAGAATCTTACAGGATGATATTGCTTTTAACTTTCAATTTTTGATTTATTTATTTGCTTTTTTTTTTTTTTTTTTTTTTTTTTTTTTTTTGGGGTGGGGGGGGGGGTGAGTGGGTGGGTTCAAGTTAGTAATTCAAAGATGGTTATATTTTAATGTGGATCAAAGGCAAGGATAAAAGAACATTAGAAAAAATTGATGCATTCTTTGATGGTGGATGGTGGAGAGGAGTAATTACAAAGGAGCTTGAAGATAGTAGGTACAAAATCCTCATCAAGCAGTTGCAAAAGAATAGTGAATTGCATCAGTCAAAAATAAGACCACACATGGAATGGAAAGATAGTAAGTGGACTGCATCTTCCCAGGTTTGTCATTACTTTTCAATTTTTTCTCAAAATTCGAATTCTGTTTTGTTTTGATGCCAAAAATTTGTCCTTATTCTTGGCTGGCCTTTTTTTGCTGTTTATCTAAAATGTTATAACTATCATTATCTGCAAGTAATATGGAAAAAATTCATGCTATATGATTTAGCAACATGTAACTTTGACAATATAGTGAGGTAGAAGGACCTTATTTTTCTTATGTTTATATGTGATACTTCTGTCTTCTGGTTAAAATGACCTGATTGTATCTAGCATAATATATATTTTTATGTTTTCTTGTAAGAATTTTGTAATTAGGCCCGAAATGAATTTGCTTTTTAAAATGTGATTTTGATCTATCCATGGATACATCCCCCATCCCTAAGCCAAAAGAATTGAGAGAAAATAAAGGGGTTATTCTGGTTTCATATTGGGCTTTTGTTTGCTACCATTTTGTGGCAAGTATCAATATTTTTGATCTATCCATGGATACATTGCCCATCCCTAAACAAAAAGAAAGGAGAGAAAGCAAATAGATCATTCTGATTTCATAGTGCTGGTGGGATTTTTTTTGCATGGCAATTATCAATATTTTGATCTATCCATGGATGCATCCCCCATCCCTAAACCAAAGGAAAGGAGAGAAAATAAATGGATCTTTCTGGTTTCATAGTGCTGGTGGGCGTGGCAAGTATCAAGTTGAATTTGGCTTGCACGTTCAACCTTTTCTTGCAAATACGTTTACAAAAGATATCATTTGAAGGTATGTATTATATCATGTTTTGCACTAGAGGCTGGAAGGTTGGATAACTTGAATTCTAGGCTGCTGGTCACAGTTTTAAGGTATCTAATAGTTAAATTCAATTAACGTTCTTGTGCCCTCATTAACATTTTTTTATATATATTTTTCCTAATACTATCTCATGTTTTGTTCAGTTGGCACCAATTGTGATTATTTTCTTGTTAGGATATGTATGACCACCAGTCTGTAGTCCCTCAACCTAGACCTTCAGATTTCAGTGTGGTCATTGCCTGGATTTGTGCTTCATTGTTTGATACATTCTTGCCAGGAAACTTGTTCATCTACTATGAGGGATTAGGTTATTTATGCCATTATCTTTGTCATTTCTCTCAGGATGACGTAATCCCATCATCAGATGCTGAAAAGCAGGGAGGCCCTATATGTTCTGATATCACCACAGTGGCTGTTCCAGTAGGGAGCTCAGGCAATGGAAAAGACTGCACTGAAGAGAAAATGCCTTGTTCCTTGAACTCAAGGGAGAATCAGGTGGAACAATCAACTCCTTGTGATCAGAAACTTTCTCATATTACCACTTCAATTACAAAGAGAAGATGTAGTTTACCTTCTGATTTTCTTGATGATCTTTCACTGCCTTTGAAGAAGCTGAAGGAAGGAAATCTAGAAGCTGCAACATCTCTTGCACCTGAACAACAAAATATCCTTGCAACTTCAAGTAAAGTGATGCTTTGTGTCTCTGCAAGTCCAATCTCTGAAAATATCAGGATCAACTCGGTTAAACAATCCATGCTTGGGGATCTGTCGTCTAATAATCCTTACAGGGGGCGGAGAATTGTAAGTCACACTGTCTACAGAAATTCCTCATTATACATTATGAACATGATTGGGAAAAATGTGTATGTTGTGTAAGCCAGGGGCCTGCATCATTATTTTTGGTTGAAAGAAGCCACATAAGTAATGTTTACTTTATTTCTTATTTTATATAGGACCTACTCACCATGCAAATGTGTGTGGCCCATGCTTATGAGCCATGGACTTAATTTTCCAAACATGCGCTATGTTTATTTTGCTTATTCAATTGAATAAGGTGAAATGCCTTGGGATGATGATAAAGTTGCAACTTTTTAAGCTACTGATTGGCACCTGCATATTAGTCTCCAATATTATTTAATGAACTAGATATGTTATTACTTTAGTCAAGAGCTGAGAACATTGATGCACGAAGTGTTTTGGTCTAGAGAGATTCGTAGATGCAATACTTTGTCAAAATTGTATGTTATTGTTGATGCCAAAATTGTACTATTTAATCTCATTAGTTTCATTGGGATTTTGGTTCCTTTGCAGTTGTGCAGAGTTAAGCTTTTGAGGCTGGATTTTATCCTTATTAATTGTAACCAAACACCTTACTAATGATTGTAAAGCTGCTTAACAGATTTTGATACTAGTCAACTAAATATCTCTAAACCAACTGAGACCTGAAGAAAAGTATAAGAAGCAATCTTAAATCTAATGCTTTGTACCCGTTTGACTTTGCTATGTTTATCACATCAACTAATATGTGTGCTTCAATCTTAATTTACATGTCAGAGAAAACAAAAAAAATTTGAGGAGGATGACCCTACATCTGATTCTAAGAAGAGAAGAGGAAGAACCCAAGAAATGCAAGTTAAAATCCCGGAATATGTTGTAGGAGGTATTTGTGGGATTTTTATTTCGTAATTTAGTTGTTTACTATCAAAAGTAGTGAAAACAAAATTTATTGTCTCCAGTGTGAAAGAAGAAACTGAACTTTGTACACCATAGGTTTGGCTACTGGAAAGGGGTGCTCAAGTGACAAAAGGGATCATCCGTCAATTGATGAGGAACCTTTGAAGCCTGTGAGTGAACAGGAGCAGCAATCAAATGATTCAGCGATACAGAGGATAAAGGTTAATATGATGAGACTGGTACCTATATACAGTTTTGAATGTTGATGAGTTATCCCTTCCTCTGAAATAGGAATTTAAACACCTGTTTGCACAGTCAACTGATATATCTGGTTCTATGCAGAGAAGAGGAAAAACCCAAGAACTGCAAGTTAAAAGCCTAGAATCTGTTGTAGGAGGTATTTATAGGGTTTTTGATTTCTTAGCTTAGTTGTTTTAAGATCTACATTAGTGCGAACAAAATTTTATTATCTGCATGAAAGAATCTGAACTTTGTACATCATAGGTTTGACTGCTAGAAAGGCAAGCTCAAGTGACAAGAGTGATCGTCCATCAATTAATAAGGAACCTTTGAAGCCCGTTAGTGAACAGGAGCAGCAATCAAATGATTCAATGCTATGGAGGATGAAGGTGAAAATGATGAGACTGACAAGTACAAATGGTTTTGAATGTTGCAAGGAGCCCCTGTAATATTATTTAGGTATCTGTTTTGCATAGTTAACTGACTTCAAGTGAAATCAGGATATCCCTACGTCTGGTTCTATGAAGAAAAGAGGAAGAAACGAAGTTAATAGCCCAGAATCTATTGTAGAAGGTGTCTCTGAGGTTTTTATTGTTTTAGTTGTTTTACTATCTAAATTAGTGTGTGATAGAAGAAACTGATCTTTGTACATCATAGGTTTGGCTACTGGAAAGGCTTGCTTAAGTGACAACTGGGATTGTCCGTCAATTGATAAGGAATCTTTGAAGCCTGTGAGTGAACAGGAGCAGCTATCAAATGATTCAGCGACACCGAGGATACAGGTGAATATGATGAGACTTGCACTTATATATGGTTTTGAATGTTGGCTTGGAGTCCCTTCCTCTGTAAATAGGAATTTAAGCACCTGTTTGCATAATCAAAAGTAAGTTAAAATGATGAAGCAATCCTGAACATTTTTGAATCTAATATTGCTAGATTTATTGGAATGTGATTGAAAGGTCCACACGAGAAATAAAATAATATTCTGGGGATAGTTGTGTAAACTTAATAGTGCTACATTTATTGCTAGCTTAAACTCACATTTTTATCCAAGGTTTTTTGTTACTCTGCTCTTTTATTTTTTTTATTTTTATTTATTTTTTAAAGCAGGAATTATGCTATGGTACCTGGATGCATTTTTTTGTTAACCTTTCCTTTCATTTGTAAATCTAATTTTAAATAAAGCTTATTTTTTTGGTTTATTTGATAACAGATGTTCTCCGTCTATCTAATCCTCATCTCTACCATATTGAAATAATTCATATATAAATGGAAAATCTAAATTCATACACTAATTTTTCATTAAAGTTTCATATTTCCTTGTATAGTGCCTTTTTTCTTAGTTTTTTAATTTTTAAATTATTTATTTATTTATTTATATATTATTCTGGGATAGCTGGTTATGTTTAATTTGTTCCCTTTTCATATTATTTACTTTGCTTTCAAACTTATCCCTTTTTCCGCGTGAAAATTTAAAAAAGAAAATCAATTTTAGTTTGGCTTAAAAGTTCAATTTAAAACTCTATGAAACCTGCCATCTATTATGAGTTGCATTTGAGCATGACTTTGTCAAGTTTTTCTTGGAGCTTATTTGTGCTCCTCACATGATATACAGCGTTCAATTGAGTTCATTGTCTTTTGTTGATGGCACTTTAACAAAATAATATATTTAACTACTTAATGCTCTTGCTGCTTGTTTGTATTCTGTTGCATTTTTAGGAGAGTAAGCAACTAGAAACTGAAGAAGGCATTCATAAGAGAAAGAGAGGAAGGCCGCGAAAGACGCCAATCAAAAGCCAACAAACCCAGGTAACAGGTCTGTGCATTTCTTTTCACACTGTCTCCCTATTTCTTCCTTTTATCACCCTTGTAAGATGAAATTGTTGATACCTTAATGTTATAACGACTTAGGTTCTTGCTAATGGGAAAATTCCTGTGTTAATAGGCAGTGCGCAAGATGGAAAAATTGAGGCAGATGAAATGGTCATAAAAGACTGTAACGCAAATGAAGTTGATTCGAGCATAACTGCTGAAATGATGACTGGAATTGAGGGCTCTTTGTATGATCAGGAGAGCACAATGCATGGCAAGAATAATGGTCTTCCAAAGCTGAAAAACAGGCCTGGCAGTATAATGAAAAAGACCCACAGGAAAGTTTCAGATGCGAAAGCAGTTGAGAGGTCAGTAAACCAAATTGAAAAGCATTCATCAAAGGGAAGAAGAAGACGGACCACTTATGTAAAGAGTGCCTTTCAAGTTCAAGGTGCTGAGTTTTTTGTATGAAGGCAGATTCTTTCATGATTGTTGCTGTTGTTTTTAGCGTGTTTTATCTGCTATTTTGGGACACATTGATTGCATATGGAGATTTTGAAATTCGAGAAAAAAATGTTTAGGTTAGAACTTTTGATGCTAATTTTCCCCCCTGTTGATTTTGATTTTGCTGACAATGCCTTTTTTGATGTTCTGCAGATTCTCTAGATGCTTCAGGAAGTAAAACCATGGAATCATATCACATGGTGAATGAATTAAATAAAGTCAATGCTGGAGTACCCTCCAGAGAATATGATAATAAACCTCTTTCTCAATGGATTGAAGAAATACAGACTCCAAATGCTGTTGATGGCTCAAGTAAAATGCTAACATGCATTTTCTTGGTGTGCACCACTTTGGAATAGTTCGCCTGATAATATTTGATTTTCTGCAGGAGTTTCCCTGGCGAGAACTGCAGAGAAATGTGTTGAAACCGCCAAGATGCCAAAAGAAATTGCTCTGTTAACCGATGGCAGTGAGAGGCAGGAGTCTGGTATTCAAATTCCTTTCTCTGGAGATAAAGTTTCAATCATTCAGAGCGAGCAGCTAAGCTTGCCTTTTGTGAAGAACGCGATGCTTTGGAGTGCAATTGAGTCCATGGATGTCTTCCAGAGGATACCGCAGAAGCCGCATTTCCAACCTCTACAATATACTAAAGAGAGTTCTCGTGAAGGCTTAGCTATAGGTCTAATGGTAACCTTTTCCAGTGTGGTGGAAAAAGCCTTGCGATTGCAACTTAATGATCCTAAAAGTATCTCTGACGATATTTTAGAGAATCTTGCAGACTTGGAAAGGTATGGATTTGATGTTCATGCAGTGAGAGACCGTATAACGGGGTTGCTATCTGTGAAAGATAGGAAGGAAAAGCTCTTAGGCCAAGTAGAGCAACTTGATAGTCAAATTGCTGAGCAAAATCTCGAGAGAAATCACACAGATGAAGAGATTAACAAGATCAACGAGCAGATAAGGAATCTGCAAGAAAAGCTCACACATGCTGAATCAGCTAAAGAGGCGAAGGATCGATTAATTGCCTCTTCCAAGTCTAAACTAGAGGAACTCAAAGAAAGCATCATGACTGTTGCTTGTGATTTTGAAAAGTTAGCTGCCACGCCTTTGTAAATATTCATGATTCTGAAAGACCCTTTTGCTGTACCTGGTCGAAGAAGCAACGGGTTGTGCTCTGTAATGGTAATCCTATGTTAGATTTGTATCTTGAATGTGTTTGGTAAATTAAACCCCTTTCTTTCTTGATCTGTATCGTGTCTTTCCAAATGTAGAATTTGGATCCACATCCAGATGTTAAATCATTTGTTGTAATAGTCTGTTTTTGTATGTATCATATGTCCTTGTGATGGTTCTAATGCGAGATTAGGCAAACATTAGCTGATATTCTGCACTTGAAATCGGTTTTGCCTTGTTTTGAACTTGTAGCTTTATTGCTCTGTTGTCCCCTGGTTAATTTGGACCTCTACTTTATTTTGTATTCTTGCTGTGATTTCTCTATTTTAAGGGGGGGAGTTGATCATCACTTCCCGCTTGCTATGATTGTTCCATCATACTCAAACATCTCTGTGAGTTGCTTCTTTGTCATCTGCAAACTCTTGAATTTTACAATTCTTCAAATAAGATGAGGCATGCTTGTCTCAAATATTTACATTTTGTGTCGGTATTCTCACCATAAAATGCTGTGACGGCCTACCTTATTTGCCGTCGCTATTGCTAGGTAAATGTGTAGGTGAAGTAACTAAATTCAATGCTGTTATACTCACGAGAGCACTCTTTCGAAATTTTTTGTTCACATGGGTCTGGTGCAGGTCTCACTCCCATGTGTAGGTCACCCAGGGTGCAATATTTTCTGGCAAAAGAGCTTAATTCAAATAAATTACAAAATGTACTAGTAATGTTCATATATACAATAATATAATAATAGATTTTAAGAAACCTATATGTTAATATCCATGTAGTTTTCGACACTACAAATTTTTTGATATTCAATCTTGGGTGGTTGTATTTAATTACAATCTTTTATACGTACGAGGAGAATTATTAGATTGCATTATATAGGACAGGTGATTTTTCATTCATTGTACCTTGAATAAAAAAACAGTTTTATTCCAACTAATGCACATGCGACACATGTCTTCTTGGCATTTTCCCTATATAGTGGGCTCAACTCTTTAAATTAATAATTGATCTAAACTTGCCTGTAATATAAGATTCGATTGACATTAATTTTTAAGGTAAAACTGAGTAGTTTATAGGGATGTGACTCTTGAGTATGTAAATGTTCTATGCAATTGAAGTAAAATTAGTAGCAACTCATGTTATTTAATGCATGTTTGACCCTCCTTTTTTTTTTTTTTTTTAGTCAAATTCATTTTCAACTCTGCATTTTATGGTATCTAAAACTTTTATGAATTTTTGAACTATATATTTCATCCACTTTTATCAAACTTCATTAAAAATCTAATTTTTAGCTAAACCAAACAAAGGTTAATTGGATTTTTCCCTTACTACATTATGTATCTCTTGTTTGTGTCTCTTTCGTAATTAGAACTGAAAACCGAACATTCTGCAGAATGCCTAAACAATGATCCCCTTCGGTGATGGTTATGGTTTAAGCCATAGTTTCTCAATTTATGGCTTTCTCGTGTCCAAATGGTAGCCATTTGGAGAAAACTTCTACAGCAGGAACTATGTTGCAACTTTGGGAACCTCTCTCTCCTTGAGTGTGGCAAGTGAAACCTCAGCAATATTCAACTGAGTGTTGACATCAAAATTCGTCAAAGCTTGCTGATTTGCTAGGATGTTACTGGGCCGTATATTTCTAGATAAAATTTCATGAAAACTATACATGCAAAATCTTAGCTATTTATTTATGAATAATTATATTTGCAGTTGCTTACTACCGCGTTTTACATAGCATACATGTGACGTTTAGTGATTTGTTGCATGATATAATAAAAAATTATCACATTAATGTGTCAAATTACTAACCGTCTGGAAATCATACTTGTACACCCACGGTGTACGCTTAGGTTTACACTCCCTTATATGGAGGGGGCCTGCTCACAATATTAAAATATCAGCTATTTATTTATTGGGAAATGATACTCATACACCCCACATATGCCCAGGTTTACACCCCGTTACATGGAGGGGGGCCACGCACAATATTAAAATCTTAGCTATTTATTTATTGGGAAAAGATATTGTACATCGCACGGTGCACATTTGGGTTTTCATCGTACGTGTAGCATCAACCTTATTTATTTGACACTTGTCTGTTTCAAATAATTCTGAAAATAGGGGATTCTACAAGCCACAATATCTTGTACAATAACTTTGATGAAATTGCACACTAAATCTTCTTCTCACAAGCACCTATAACTTGCAGTAGATGGAAAACAAGGTACTTCCCATCAATTAGGCTGATATACAAAATAAAAAGAGACCAAATAGTTCAAAAGAATAGGAGGTAGGCTGATGAGTATATTTCACTCATACTTTAGACACCATCTAAGTTTGATATTTAGTTAATTCTTATGAGTTTCAGAGCGTTTTAATGTATGTTTTGATGTTGTGCTATAGGTTGATGAAATTGAATGAAATAAGTAAAAGTTGGGAAAATTGGAGAATGGGCTAAATTGTAAGAGATCCAAAGTTCGGGGGACTAAAGTTTAAATACTTAAAAGTTGTGTCAAACTTCACAATTAAGGTTTGAGAGTTCTAGGAGTCAATTGGATAAAGAAAAAAGTCAAAGGGATGAAATATAACCAAACTATGATTACACATCAATTTCCAACCGAAAAAGTTATGCTCTGAATTTTTAATCTCATATTGAGACCCATTTTTGACACAGGAAACATTGAAATTGAAAAAATGATATCTGAATCAAATTATAGCCCCTTGCTAATAGCTTTTCAACGCATCTTGAATCGCCTTAATCGAATGTCGATAGTAAATGTTATGATAAAAATATTGAAGGATGTGCAGTGCTGTTTTTCCACTAGAAGTAAGCACCTTCTGACTTGCTGAAAATCTACAAAATCGTGGTATCACAGCACCCATCTTGGGCACCACGGCACCGCCGAATGAGAAAAAATGAATTTTGAAAATTTTTTGACTATTTTTTTGGGTCAATTCAACCATAATTCGTCCAAAACTTCAAAATACTATAAATACAAACCTAAATACCACAATTCATGAGAGAGTTCAACCGGGCAAGAAGGGGGACAAAATTCAAGAAATTAAAGGAGAAATCAAGAACAACATTGCAAAGGAGATTAAACATCTACCACAGCTACTTTTTCTATTCTCTTCTCTATGTTGTTTATTTGAATTTGATTATTTTTATAGCTTATATCATGAATTAAATATCTAGTCTGGGGTTTGATAAGGTAAAATTTAAGAGTATGATTTGAATTTATTATAGTTGTATCTATGAAAATTTCCATTCTGTTTATTTGTATTATGATTTTAACGCTTTAATTAATTATTCACTAATTGAATAAATAGATGCTAGTCAATTTTGACACTCGAGAGAGAAATTTAGGAGCGATCGAGGAATTAGTGGCCAACAGCCGGTTGATCCGGCCAATTTTCCAAAGAGGCCTTTGATCAATTAAAAAAAAAAAAGCAAAATGTTTAAAATATTGAAAATCAAGAGAAATCCAAATTTACCCTTACTATTTAAAGAAGAAAGAGAAGATAGTAAGGAAAGAGAAAAATTACTGTAGCACTGATAAAAAAGAAAAAATAGACGACCCATATTTAAAGTTTTTATGTTGATTTTTGGAAAAAAAAAACATGATTTTATATACATGTGTTGATTTTTGGAAAAATACATAATTTTTGGGTAAGCATAATAGTTTGGAAGGAGGAAAATGGAGTAGAGATCGTCGAAAATGGATTTTTCCGGCGATCTCCACAAAGGAGACGTAAGCCCAGCTGACTGGACCGATTAGGCATGCCCAGATGATCCAGACTCACCCAGACGGCCCAGTTGACTGGGCCGTCTGGGCACCCAGTTGACTGAGCCGGCTGGGTCAACTGGACCGTCTGGGCGCCCAGTTGACTGGGCAGCCTGGCGCCCAGACGGCCCAGTCATCTGGGCCGATCGCCAGAGGCCCAAATTTTTTTTTAAATTGCTTATTTATTTATTTCCTTTAATTTTTTAAGTTAACTATTTATTTTAATTACTTATATTGTGTTGTCTAATATTTAATTATTATTTGAATTGTTTAATTTTAATGTATATTATGTATTTAAAATTATTTCTTTGAAATGCTTAATATAAATGTTTTATTATTTATCTAAATATTTATTATTTGCCAATTTAGTTTTAATTACTTATTTATGTTAAGTAATAGTAAAAAAATTAAAAGATATAATTAAATATTAAATAAGTAATATACATAAAGAACTTAAATAAATATTTAAACATCTGTAAAATAATAAATAAGCAATTAAATTAGAAAATTAAAATATCAATCAAATTAAATTTCTGCAAATCAATTAAAATAAATTTGTAAATATTAAATAAGCAATATGCATAAAGATTAAAAAAAGTATTTAAATATTAATTAAAAATAAATAATTAAATTAAGTGTTAGTAAAATAATTAAAATAAGCAATTAAAATATTAAATAAATTATGAAAATAAGTGTTAGTAAAAAAATTAAACGAAATAATTAAATATTAAATAACTAATATACATAAAGAATTTGAATAAATATTTAGACATTCATAAAATAATAAAAATAAGTAATTAAATTAGAAAATTAAAATATCAATCAAATTAATTATTTGTAAAGCATTTAAATAAATATCAATAAAGAATTTAAATAAATATTTACTCATTTTTTATTTTTTAATATTGAATTTAATTGTTTATAAATATTTCATGAATTATGTAAATTGTTTATTTTAGTAAAATAATTAATTATTTTTTTATTTCATTTTATTTAAAATATAAATAATGAAATAAATATAATAAACAATTGAATATTCAATAAACAATTCAAATAAACTAATTGAAATAATGAAATAAATATAAAAAATAAATAACTAATTGAAATAAATTAAATAAATATTAATAAAATAATTAAAATAATGAATTGAAATAATAAATAACTAATTGAAATAAATTAAATAAATATTAATAAAATAATTAAAATAATGAATTGAAATAATAAATAACTAATTGAAATAAATTAAATAAATATTAATAAAATAATTAAAATAATGAATTGAAATAATAAATAACTAATTGAAATAAATTAAA